TCATTTTGAAGGTACTTATTGGGTGGGCAACGAAGTCATTGCCGTTTTTGTTGACAGATTCACTCTATACTTTCTTTTGTTTTGTTAACGTGACCAGAGCATCTAACCTATATTTTTTTCTTACTGTATGGGCTTCTAGGTTAATTAGTAAAAAATTTTTTATTGTTTAGCTCTTTAGTTTTGTTTTTATCCCAATTTAAAAATGAAAGAACAGGACGTGCACTTCCGACACATTTTATTGTATTACTTCCGAAAAGGCAAGAACGCATCGCAAGCACAAAAGAAGTTATGTGCCGTATATGGAGATGAAGCCTTAAAAGAAAGGCAGTGTCGAAATTGGTTTGAAAGATTTCGTTCCGGTGATTTTTCACTGAAAAATTCACAATGATCTGGCCGCCCAGTCGAAGTGGATGAAACCCATATCAAGGCCATTATCGATTCAAATGGTCACAGCGCAACACGAGATATTGCAGAGAAGCTCAATGTGTCGCATACATGCATTGAAAAACAATTAAAAACCCTTGGTTACGTCAAGAAACTCGATTTATGGATCCCTCACCAGTTAAAGGAAATTCATTTGACGCAATGGATTAGCATCTGTGATTCGCTACTGAAACGCAATGAGAATGATCCATTTCTGAAGAACCTAGTTACTGGCGACAAAAAGTGCATAGTTTATAACAATGTCGTTACTCGCAAGAGATCATGGGTGAAGCAAGATCAACCAGCCCAAACAGTATCAAAAGCAGAGATTCACCCCCCAAAAAGATTATGCTGACAGTGTGGTGGGATCACAAAGGAATTTTGTATTTTGAACTCATGCCGCAGAACCAAACGATAAACGTTTGGTAAACGATAAATTCAAATGTGTATGTTGAAGAACTCGAAAAACTGAAGGATGCAATTGAAGATAAGCGGCCGGCATTATCAAATCGGAAGGGTGTTGTTTTCCACACATCTTTGGTTACTCGGCAAAAATTATTGAAACTGGGTTGGGATGTTTTGTCACACCCACCATATAGCCCTGACCTTGGGCCTTCGGATTACCATTTGTTTCGTTCCATGCAAAACTCTTTAAATGATAAAATTTTTAACAACGCGGATGATGTCGGATCACACATAATTCAATTTTTTAATAGCAAAGATCAGACATTTTACGAACGGGGAATTTTTACTCTACCAGAACGATGGAAAAAGGTCATCGACAAGAACGGCCAATATCTAATTGAATAAAGTTATATTTTTAAACAAAATTCCGAATTTGCCTTCTTATTTGAAATCGGCAATGACTTAGTTGCCAACCTAATAAAATGCTAACTTTACTGAGGCCTTATATACATTCATCCAACCAATCACATCTGAGTATAGTTATAGGCAAGCATAGATATGTAAGGTCATTTTTTTCTAAAAGAACATCTTTGCAATGAAAACCAATAAAATTTCATTTTTCCACAGTTTGTTTGTTTTTCATGCGCATTTCTCAAGTGAGAATATCAAATTGATTAGCCGAGTAAATTAATTGAGCAGAAGTGTGCCTCATGATTTTTTCAGAGCAAATGAGAATTGTAAGAGGAAACTGTTCAAACGATAAGAAAATCAAATTGTCAGTGAGAAAAATGGGAATAATTGTCAGCATAGTCCAGTTCTAATTATTGATCAGTTTCTTCTCACTTCCATATTCTCTATCATTTGAGAGTACATAGAAACTGTTGAGAAATTGATGACTCAGAATGAACATTAGCTGTTCTCTTTCCACAACACCGAATCTTCATTTTTCAGATAGAGTTTTATATGTCAAGGATAACTAAATGCTATTTCACTAAAATGTGTCTTAATATCAACCATAGAGCGTCTAACTTATTGAAACGAATGATGGAAAAATAATGCTTCCCATTTACATTGAGTATTAATCCCCCTAACCTTCATTAATGAACCTCGCGCTAAGACTACATGACGACATGTGGACGCAAACGATTTTTTCCCTATTAAACAGTATTTAACTCGATCAATACATTTTACATTCATTGTCCATCTGCGTGTACGTGTGTTAAGATAACTGTCAATGGCAGTGCATGTGTTTGCAAATGTTCAAACGGTGGAGTAGAGCTGAATTCAATTTGGTGTGATATTTGTTTCACAGAAAAGGTGGGTTGAGTCTACTGTGAAGGAATCATATCAAATAGACAAAGGAGAATCTTTGAAGTTTCTAATGTTCAGTTCATTCCAGTTAATGACGCTACTTCGAGAAAGAGTGCATTTATTAAGAGTGCCACTTTGAGTTGATCGATGTTCAGTCATCGGTGCTGTCAATAGTCTAGTTGACACGAGCGTCAATGTCTGCCTATCGATGTTCCAATTACTTGGACGACTCCATTGAACCCATTCAAGTCAACAATGCGTCGAGTTAGACTATCGATCAACTCTGATTGAATTTGTCCCCATGTGCATTGGAAGTGAATGACATTTAGTGAAGTTTGCCATGTGCTTGATGCAACAAAATATCCTATTCGAAATTATTAGTTCCGTGCATTTTCCTTAATATGGACATATGTTATCAGGAATTCCACATTGCTTAAATAAATTTGCTAATAGTTTTTCATCTAATTTTCTTAAGGTATTTTTTTCATCACAGTAACATCAAATTAATATTGATTTTAAAGTCCTAGTATAGGGCAGTCTACTATGCATGAATTTTGAATCATGAAAAATATTCGCGTTATTGACATGAATGGAGTGCCCTTTACATTGGCTTTTCTCAAATATTAAGATTCTCATTTCTAATGTGCATCTTTACACCCAACTTCACCTCCACATTATTTCCAAACAAGTAAGACATAAGTGGAACCATGAAGGAACAAGAATTTGTCATGAAAGAAAAATGTTTTTAATTTCAATTTTAGTTTTTGTGAATTCGGTAATAACGTTAAGTAAGGTACTTTGATTTTTTGCAATGAATAATTGAATTGAAAACGCCAAAAATTTTCTTTTCTTCATCACAACATGGGAACATCCAATTCAAGCCCACTTCAATGTACTCATTTTCTCAGTCGAGATGGGTTGTTTGAAATATTAAGCAGCTATCCTTCTACCTCAGGAGTTCGAATAATTTTAGCTAGATGAGTTGAGCTATTAAACAAGTTGCTAGATAGAGTAAGAATCTGAAAATGATTTTTTGTGATAAGCAACTTTCCGCATTGCAGAATTAACAATTATGAGTGGGAGAAATTGCGATGGGAATTCATAAAATTTATCGAGTTTAAATACGCAGATAGATGATGTATTCGTGATCTCGCCTACAAGCAGACGACAAGTGATTGATTGCGAATTCCGCAACTAGTGTAATTGCGAGCTTAGTTCCTCTTATTGAACAAAAGGTTGAGCTGTAGTTCAAGTAAATTGTAGAATGAATTTTATTGCATTCCTTAAAACCATAATTATCGAGCCCTAAACCTCTTCATTATCCGAGCTAAAATCAAAAGAAGACATGCGAATTTTGGCGCATCATTTCATTTCTTCCTACCTCAAAACCTGCCTGCATCTGAAAAACGCCTTTAGTTTAACTTCGTTGATCGGACGAGAACCGGTGCTTTCTACGTGGTATGGTCGCTGACAACCCAACATCTACCCTTCCACTCACTCCACCCTCTCCACAACTACCTTCTCCTCTACTCTCCTACATCCTCCCCACCTCACCTCACCTCACTTCACCTCTACACCTCTCCCCTCCTTATCTACTCCTACATCCCACACAGGCATCCCTCCCCTGTGCCTCCACTCCTGCCGCCTTACACACTTCGCCAATATACCACCCAAAGATTTTAACACCTTGAGGCCAAATGTAAAGGATATGGAGGAGGAGGAGCAGGGGATTAAAATAAGTGAGATGGAGAAGTTAAGGTAGATGAGGTGGAGGCAAGGAGTGAAGGCGTGGAAGGATTGGACGGTGTGGAAATAGTGGAAGGTGTGGAAGGAAAGAAGGGAGGAGAGGGGGGCGAAAAGAAGTCAGAAAAACCGGATATTCCCAGCCGGTCACCCATGCAAGCACTAACCCGGCCCGACGTAGTTTAACTTCGGTGATCGGACGAGAACCGGTGCTTTCTACGTGGTATGGTCGCTGACAATCCAGCGTCTACCCTTCCACTCACTCCACCCTCTCCACTACTACCTTCTCCTCTACTCTCCTACACCCTCCTCACCTCACCTCACCTCACCTCACTTCACCTCTCCACCTCTCCCCTCCTTATCTACTCCTACATCTCACACAGGCATCCCTCCCCTGTGCCTCCACTCCTGCCACCTTACACCCTTCGCCAATATACCACCCACAGAATTTAACACCTTGAGGCCAAATGTGGAGGATATGGAGGAGGAGGAGGGGAATAAAATAAGGGAGATGGAGAAGTGAGGGTAGATGAGGAGGAGGCAAGAAGTGAAGGCGTGGAAGAATAGGAAGGAGTAGAAGGAGTGGAAGGTGTTTAAGGAGTGGAAGGTGTGGAAGGAGGGAAGGGAGTAGAGGGAGGTGAAAAGAAGTTAGCAACACCGGGTATTCCC